GCCGCAGTCGATGATGGCGTTGTAGGTGGCATTGACAGTGCTGAAGTAGTACTGCGTCTGCTTCATGATGCAGCTCGTCTCCCTGGCCTCCATACTGTCCCCCGCCACCTCCTCTGCGCCGGCACAGTGCCATGGGCCAGGGGCCACGAACCCCCCACGACGCACCCCTGCCCCGTCCCCTGCCCGCCCCCAGCCCAGGGCTCCCCAGGGACTCACCCGTCTGGAACCAGCTGCTGTAGGTGAGGCCGTACAGGAACTGCTGGAAGAGGGACCTGGGGAAGGACAGCGCGGCCGCGTTGCTGTCCCAGTCCCAGGGATGTGCCGGTGTCACCCCCTGATGGAAATGGCTCCCCAGGGAGGGGACACAGCGGGACTCACCAGGCTGCGGCCGAGGTCCACCAAGCGAGGTTCAGGAGATCAGCCACGGTGGGCTGCAGGCAAAGAGGGGGGCGGTGAGCCAGTGGGTCCCCATGCAGGGTGCTGGGGACACCCCCGCGGGTCCCCGAGCTCCCAGACTGCCTGGTGGCCACCATCTGCACGGGCACTCACCACGAAGACGCCGCGGGGCGCAGCGCCCGTGTTGCTCTGGGCCTCGGGGGCGCAGACGGACTGGAAGTCGTAGGACTCGTTGCGGGCGTAGAAGGAGTTGTTGTAGAGGGCGGACATCAGGTTGGCGTCCACCTCGCTGAAGAACTTGCCCACCTGGGATGGGGATATCTAGTCTGCACCCGAAGGCCACCTCGCCATGGTCTCCCCCTGCAGGACTCGAGTGGGGCTGTGTCATGCCACCCGTGACATGAGCTCAGAGGTCTCGGCTCCCTGCCGGCATCCTACGCCCAGGAGAGCTGCCACGTGGGCACCGCTCACCTGGTACCAGTGGTCCTCCTGGTTGGAGAGCACCAGGAAGCCCCCGTCGTCTATGAGGACGCAGATGAGGTCCTGGGGAAGGAGGGCAACGTTACCCACCCCTGGCCGTGCCCAGGGCGAGGCAAGACAGGCAGGGTTGGGGGGG